TTTGAGATAGAGTCTCATTCTGTCGCCAGCCTAGAGTGCATTGGTGCAATCTGCAACCTCTGCCTCCCGAGTTCAAGTGATTCTACTGCCTCAGCCTCATGAGTAGCTGGGACTATAGGCATGCGCCACCACATCCAGCTAATTTTTGTATTTTTAGTAGAGACATGGTTTCACCATGTTGACCAGGATGGTCTTGATCTCTTGACCTTGTGATCCACCTGCCTTGGCCTCACAAAGTGCTGGGATTGCAGGTGTAAGCCATTGTGCCCAGCAAAGTGAGTAGGTTTTTTAACTCATATCTCATCAAAGAGCTCACAGAAGTTCAAAGAATGTAAATTATGTATTTATTTTCCACTTAATAAAAATAACAAAAAAATACATTGTTAGTAGCACACTAGTTAAATGTTAGGCCATGCTAAAATAATCCAGGTGTTTGTGGAAGCTAGTTATATGGCTAACTTTTGCTTGCCTTCTTTTCAAATATGGAATACTATCATTCCTGAGAGTATGCATGAATCCATTTGTGGTGGCTGATTAAGGACTTTGTCCTCCTACCCTGCAGAGACACAGAATACAAAGGGCTGCAGCTCTCCCTGGATCAGATCTCAGCCTCCAAACCAGCCTTCTCCTATGCCAGCAGCTCCACTCCCACCATAACTGACAACAGAAAGGGGGCCAAATCCCGGCTCTCCAGCTCAAAGTCAAAATCCAGGACTTCCCCATACCCTCAGGTAAGTGCATTGCTGTTTTGCAACCTTCTTTTTTGGGGGACATGGTTTGAGCTTGAAGTTGAGAAAGTATTAAAACTGTTTGGAATGAATTATCTAGTTTTAATAACTAAAACTTCTGTAAATCTCCAAAGTTCTCCAAACTATCTGCCTCCTTTTCCTTTAAAATAACTGTGCTAGTAAAAATTTGAAATGATGTTGTGGTTTACCACATTAATTAAAGGTCATGAGAGTCTGGTTGCTGTCAGAACTATAACTTCTTTGTGATTTTGAGGAGTTTGATCCTGAATTTTCCTCCCACCCCGTGAGTGACCGGAAATATGTAACCAACAAAACAAAAGACAGGAAACAAGAGCTTGATGTAGAAAAACGAATCTTGGGACAGGAACTAAAGAAAAAGAAAATTAAGAGGGGGAGGCAAAGGATCAAGGATGCGTGTCCTCGTAAAATTTGAACACAGACTGGCTATTTACTAGAAGGAATGAAATAGAGAGGGTCTTCCAGATGACAGGAATGGTAGGAAAAGCAAATTCTTCTCATATTTGCAAGGTGGAGAGAAGATTAGGCCCCAAGATGTATTCCAGAAACATTGCAAGGTACAAATAGGATTCCTGGTTCTTGGAAGAAAAAAAATTTTTCTGTTCAGTCACAGACATAGAAACTAGGCTATGTCAAAGTGCGTACACAGCTTTCCTGGCCTGAAGGAAGTAGGACAGGACTGAGAATTATCCACTCCCAATATCCTGTGGCTTCCTCATCTCCATCCTTCTCTTTTAATAATATCATGTCAAACCTCCTGCAGTTCACTAGAGTAGCTCAGGAGATGCTACCTGGGCTAGTATAAAACCAAACTGGAGGCTGGGCACGGTGGCTTATGCCTATAACCCCAGTACTTTGGGAGGTCAAGGTGGGGGGGATCACTTGAGGTCAGGAGCAAGACCAGCCTGGCCAACTGGTGAAACCCTATCCCTACTAAAAATACAAAAATTAGCCGGATGTGATGGTATGTGTCTGTCATCCCAGCTACTCAGGAGGCTAAGACTGGAAAATGGCTTGAACTCGGGAGGCAGAGGTTGTAGTGAGCTGAGGTCATGCCATCACACTCCAGGCTGGGAGATAGTGAGACTCTGTCTCAACAAAACAAAAACAAAACAAAACTAGTTTCTGAGTCACTTACTCCTCAAGGTGGTCTTTATCATTTATGTTTAAATATATTTTATAAGTAAAAATGACAATCTGGTGAGTATAGAAACTATTGTTTCCTTATTTGTCAGACTTATGTTATTCTGTTGATATCTATAAGTGTATACCATGTGAGAAAATGTTGTTCACTGAACCAGTGGTCACTAAGGAGCTACTATTTGCTAGATTATTTTGGTGGCTTGGTGTATGAAGATGAGAACAACGTGGTCTCTCCCTTTAAGAGACTTATGTCACGTGGCTTGAAATCTTCCACAGAAGATCAGATTTCTTTACCTGGCAAAAGAAAGGAGAGTAGATGTGTAATGCCCAGATGTTTTTCAGTGTATAACTTCCATTATAAGGACTGAGCACTTTACTTATAGAGTATATATGTTAGTCAAAGTCATGGCAGAAAAGGAACTTCCTCCTCCTCCTCTTCTTTTTCTTCTTCTTCCTCCCCTCCTCCTCCTCCTCCTCCCCCCCTCCTCCT